ACCCCTAGCCTTTTAAACCATCACAAATCTTCAAGTGATTGCTAGGTTGTTTACAGTCCTTGATACACTCTGAATGTTGCATAAATAATTATTACATTATATTGTTTAGGAGACATTAACAAAAGTGGGCAGTATATACATTATAGACTTTTTTCTCTTTTTAGATAGTAGGGTGAATCCAATGGATATGGAATAGGTATGGAATATTGAATAGGTATGAAAATTGACTTTGGAATATGAATATGAAATATTAAAAATCATCTGGATTATACTTGGGTTTGAAGAAAACCTGTTTTTACCAAAGTCTAGAACACTGAGGTATAAATGGATGAGAGAAAAATCTAGTTTGGACCATATAAAGTTTCATTGCTGTCAAGTCATTACATAGCAAAATGACAGCCTGGATATCTCAATATTTAATATATTATTGCACTAATAAATTGATTACACAATGGATTAAATGATGAGTTGTGAAGTTAATATTGTAATGGTCCGCTCTATCCCTTTCAGAGACAAGCCATGCCCACTTCCTCCCCCATCTGCCAAGGCAAGCTGATCTTGCCTGAGTCCCTTCCTTCTTTTCTGTCTCCCTTTCCAAGAGGTAGCTTCTGTCTCTCCCCTTTTCTCCTTTTCCCCCTTCTTTTTCTCTGCCTGTCTCTGTCTGCCCTTCTCCACTTTCCTCTCCATAACCTGATGGAGGAAGGTCATTGGTTAAATAAAAAGGAACTGCTTGGCCCTCATTGGTTAGAAGATAGGTGGGAGGAGTAAACAGAACAGAATGCTGGGAGGAAGAGGAAGTGAGCTCAGACTCCACAGCTCTCCTCTCGGGAGCAGACGCCTCAGAGAGAGTCGCCATGCTCCCAGCTCCCAGGCAGACGCACGCGATGAAGCTCCGACCCAGGATGGACATAGGCTAGAATCTTCCCGGTAAGCGCACCTAGGGGCACTACACAGGTGATTAGAAATGGGCTAAATTAATATGTGATAATTAGCCTAGAAGAGGCTAGATAGAAATGGGCCAAGCAGTGATTAAATGAATACAGTTTGTGTGTTGTTATTTCGGGCATAAGCTAGCCAGGCAGCCGGGGTGCTGGGGACGCAGCCCCACCGCTCTTATTACTACAATAACCCACTAAATAAATATCCAACCTCACTCTGCATGGCATGTCTAACTGTGTCTCTGTCTCTCGCCTGCTATGTGGCTCCCTGCCCTGGACCAGCCACCTTCGGAGACCTGCAGTTTGGTCTTGTGGCATGCCCATTCGTCTGTCTCTCCTCTGTGGGACTCACTGTCCCTCATGGCCCACTGCAGCCACTTGGGGAATTGTGCTGTCCCTGCCTGGGACCGGCTGCTCTCAGGATCTGCTGCCTGCTGCCTGCCCCTGCTAGAGGACCTGCAGCGTGGTCTCATGGCCCATTGCCTGCTGCATTCACTCAGGAACCTACAGCATTTTACTTTTACCATTACAAATATACCATATGATTCAACTAAAAATAAATTTCTTATATGGGTGAAGTGATCTGAAATGCTTGGGACTAAAAGTGATTTAGTGTTTTTGGATACTGGAATATTTCCGCATGTATCAATGAGCTGTTGTGGAGGTGGGACCTCATCTAAACACAGAATTTATTTCCTGTGCACCTTATGTAGACAGCCTGAAGTTTTTAGTCAACCTGAAATTGACTGTCACCTGAAGGTCAAGTGTGGAATTTTCTCCCTTTGGTGTCAGTGGTGATTCAAAGGTTTTGTTTTGTTTTGTTTGGTGAGCTGAGTCAGTTTCTTTTCTGTTGCTGTGATAAAATACTGGGACTAAAAGCAGATTAGGAACTTACACTTGTTTTCAAAAGACTAGAGTCTTCTGAATAGTGGGGACAGGACAGGGAAGTTGGCTAACCACACACAGGAAGCACAGAGAGCCAGCTGGAATCAGGGTAGGGCTGTAAACCCTCAAAGCCCACACCCAGTGATGTATTTCCTTCAGAAGCCTGCACCTCCCCAAACATTGCTACCAACTAGGGACCAAGTACATGAGCCTATTGGGGACATTCTTAGTCAAGTCACAACAGGGACATCCCACTTGAACCATAGAATAAAGATCTGAGATGATGTCATTATTTTATAAATATCATATGTCATTTTTCTCCAGAAACTTTTTTTAATTGATGTATGATGTCACATTGTCTGTAATCTTGGCCCTTGCAAGGTAGAGGCAGCTGGGCTGGAAGTTCAAGGTCATCCTCAGATATGTGGGAGTTTGAGACCAAGCTGAACTACAAAGAAACTGTGTTGAAAAACCAAACCAGTGCTGAGTGTGTTGGTGCATGCCCTTGATACTAGCACTTGGAGGAGGCAGCCAGAACTCTTAACCAGGGAGCCATTTCAACATACCCCTAAACTTTTTAAAATAAAAATTAAAAAGTTCCAAAAAGTAGCTTTTTCAAACTTAAATGCTTCTAAAACCTAAAACATGCATTTACAGACTACGTATGTATGCATTTCTATGTATTCTTCCAGAGGGCCTGGGTCTAGCGCCCTCTTCTGACCTCCTTGGACATTAGCCACACACATAGTGCATATAAAGCACCCAAATATATTTTAAAAAGTCTTAGGCCCAGCGATGGTGGCGCACACCTTTAATCCCAGCACTCAGGAGGCAGAGGCAGGTGGATCTCTGTGAGTTCGAGACCAGCCTGGTCTACAATAGCTAGTTCCAGGACAGGCTCCAAAACCACAGAGAAATCCTGTCTCGAAAAACCAAAAAAAAAAAAAAAAAAAAAAAAGAGAGAGCTTTTGCGCAGGCCTGATGACATAAGTGTCATCTCTGGATCACACAAGGAAGCAGGAGAGAACCACAGAATTGTCTTTTGACCTTCACATTCAATGGGGATAATTTTTTAGTTTACATTCTATTACTTTCCAACATAGGCACTAGATAACCATGAATTATTTTTTGATTTTCAGTTGGTCTTTCAGGAGCCTATGACTATATGAACTCCCAACTTGTTCTATGCTTTGATCACCATCGATTTGCAATTGATGCTGTATTCAAAGATTTCTTAAGTTTTTCTCCCCTCTCTTTCTTTTGGAGCCAGGTTAGCATTATATAGCCCGGGCTGGTTGGAATTTGTTTTAAAAATATTTATTTATTTATTTATTTATTATGTATACAATATTCTGTCTGTGTCTATGTCTGCAGGCCAGAAGAGGGAACCAGACCCCATTACAGATGGTTGTGAGTCACCATGTGGTTGCTGGGAATTGAACTCAGGACCTTTGGAAGAGCAGGCAAAGCTCTTAACCTCTGAGCCATCTCTCCAGTCCCCAAAATATTTCTTTATTTATTTTATTATGCTATATACTGTCTGTGTGTATGTCTGCAGGCCAGAAGAGGGCACCAGACCTCATTACAGATGGTTGTGAGCCACCATGTGGTTGCTGGGAATTGAACTCAGGACCTTTGAAAGAACAGGCAATGCTCTTAACAGCTGAGCCATCTCTCCAGCCCTGGTTGGAATTTTTTAACCTCCTGCCTCAGTAATCCTGAATGTCACCCATGCCCCCCATGCCCAGTCTCAAACCAATTTTATGCTGGGAAGATTGCAAGTGGACTTTTAGCTCTGATAGGATCTCTTCTGAAGACAAACCACCTGTTCCACATTTTGAAGAAGAAACTTTATAAGAGCACTCTAGGCGGGGCGGTGGTGGCACACGCCTTTAACCCTAGCACTCAGGAGGCAGAGACAAGCGAATCTCTGTGAGTTCAAGGTCAGCCCATTCTGTGGAGCAATTTCCAGGCCAGGCCCCGAAACTACAAAAAATTTGTCTCGAAAAACAAAACAAAAAAAACAAAACAAAACAAAAAGTACATTTATTCATTAACCTTTCCGCCTCATCTGCTATTATCCCCTACCACCAACAATTCCTGCCGTGGAACTTTTGCTTTTATCCTTTATCTAAGAACACAGCTCTTACAAAATCAAACCATCATTTACGCTGCACTTAGCGAAGTTTTTCTTGTCTTTTTTCCAGACAGTTCTGTGTAGCCCTGGCTGTCCTGGAACTCACTCTGTTCTGTAAACCAGGCTGGCCTCAAACGTACAGAGAGCTCCTGACTGCCTCTGCCAACCAATACTTGAATTGAAGGTGCGCACCACCCGGCTTACTAGGTTAAATTTAAGTTTAACTAAGTCTTAGCTCCCCAGAGCCCGTAGCTAGCGCGACCACATCGCTTCTCCCACCTTATCAAACCCTTAGAACTGTCTTCTTTGGTGGAGTGTTAACTCGGGAATGCAGTTGTTTTTCCTAGTTCACTGTTATGTTCCTTTTACACAGTTTTCCGATAAACATTTCTTACAGAAATATGAAAGCAGCTTGCAGTTTCAGTCCAAAGCTAAATCCGCTAGCTAGATCAGTGTTCTCAACCTGCGGGTCTCGACCCTTTCATTAGCGTCGCCTAAGACCACCGGAAAACAGATATTTACATTACGATTCATAACGGTACCAAAATTGGTTAGGAAGTAGCAACTAAAACAATTTTATGGTTAGGGGTCACCACAACACGAGGAACTGGGTTAAAGGTCCGCAGCTTTAGGAAGGTTGAGAACCGCTGATCTGGACAGAACATTTTCTCATGCTTGGAGCCCATAGTTGCGTGTGGAAACCCATTTGAAAGATCCGATTTTTCAGCGTACAGGATCACTGTCCACATCGCGAAGAAGCGAAGGGTATGGGTTTGTATCACAGGACCGAGAACGACAGCGGCTGCCGGTAGGAAAGTGAGCAAAAAAGAGAAGCTCGGGGAGCCCGGAGAAACCCTGAAAGTATCCAGCATCCGGACCAGGCTGAGTCCCTGGCTCGGGCTCCAGCGCGCCAAGCCGTTAGCACCGCCCCTTCCAGCCGGCTCCACCCACCGCCTCCCCAACTCTAACCCTGGCCTCCGGGCGCTCGGCGCGTTCTTAAACCCCGCCTCCGCGGCGAGGGCGCGCTCCCCTCGTCGCTTGGCCCTAGGCGATTCCGTTAGCGGCGGGAGGGAAAACCGTCCCCGGCGTCCCCGCCTCCGCTGCTAACGCTTTCCTCCCTACGCCCCCTGCGACCACCCTGCAGCCCGCTACGGAGGCCCCCGAAGTACAAACGTCTCCTAGGCCCCGTGCCCCACTCAGTAGCTGCGTCCCGTCCAACTCGCGGACCCTAAGGCCCTGCGCTCGCTTTTTCGTCTTTTCTATTTTTATTTTTATTGTTTTGTCAGGAATTCGCGCCGGTGAGTTCCCTAGGGCGGCAGAAACTTCACCCTCTTTACGGAAGTGAAAGTTGCCCCTTTTCATCTCCCCCTCCCCCCGCTGCCGCCCAGGCCTCCTGCATTCCTTCCCTCCCGCCTAGCCGGAGAGCGGCGGGCGGGGGAGGAGGAAGCCAGGGCGCCTGCGCGCAGAGGCCGCTTTCCATCCGGGTCCCTGTCCGTGCGGTGCAGCAGGTCGGTAGGCGGGAAATGGCGACTGGCTGAAGGAGCTGGTTCTGTTGCTGTTGAGGGATAAGCGGGAAAGACATCACCTATTGCGCAGTCGGGACCATCGCCGGAGCCTGAAGACACTTTTCTGTCGTCACAGTGAAGGTAATTCCCTTGGTCCAGACGCTGCCGTTGCTCCCGAGCTCAGTCCTCTCCCAGGGCCGTCTGCCGGGATCTCCTCCCCTTCCCTAGCCGAGCCTTCAGCGGTTCCAGCGCGTCCGTAGGCATGCACTGTTGGCGCCTTGTAAGTCCACAGTGTGGTCGCCGCTCTGGCCTGGACTTTCCCCTGGGAACGGAAAGGGAGCTCACTTCCCGCCAGCTTCAGCTCTTAGGCTGCGGCCTGTGTTGTGATTTCTGGGGTTAGATTTCACTTTGCTACCTACCCCCAACCCCATCTCACCTTCCTGGTCTCTGACCCCGTGGTCCTTATGACTAATGAAGTTAGATTGCCTTTTCGAACCTTCTTGTAGGCCCACGTAACGTTTGGGGTGTTTAATTCTTGTGGGGTGCTTTGGGGGGCGTTGCTCTAGCTCAGCTCTTATAAACAGCCTTTGAGAATCTGGAACGAGAGGTTACAGGAACTTCTGTCTTCTGTACTGGTAAAACGTTGAGTTGACATTACTCCTTCTGAAAATCAAGAGTGGTAGTAAAAACGAGCCCGTGTGGGAGGCCTCTGGTTTCCATAGTGGTCAGCTCAGGGTGAATTTGGATTATACAAACGTGCCGTTTCCTTTGGGTATGCCCGGCTTACTTTTGCATTCTTGACCAGGATTCTGTTATAAATAATTGCATAAGTAAACATTGTTTATTTACTTCTCGCCCTAGTGGCAGTTGGATGTGTGAATGAGTACCACAGGGAAACCTACGGAGATACTGTTGGGAAACTACCCTAAACTCCCGAGATGAATGGACTGAGTAGATGTTACTCTAAGGCAGGAATTTATCATCTTTCTAATGCTCGTCAGGCAAAACCAAGATTACTCCTTTACGTCGGTATACAAATTAGTGACATGAAATGATAGGCTTATCTGCATAATTTTTAGATTGTAGATTGCTTGTTACTTCGATTCATCAGATGCCAAGTTACACATTTTTGTTTGTGATCCAGCAGTTATCTCTTTATAAAAGCAGCGAAATGGCAATTTGAAGCTTTTTTTTTTTTTTTTTGCTCACATTTTCTAAATGTACAGAGGTCCTCAGTTTTTGTTTTTGTTTTTTCAGTATTTTGGTCATGTAGAATTTGGGGCATTATAGGTGTTTTCCCCCATGAATAAAAATGAAGGTTAAAACATGGCTTATGTTACATGTCAGTTAATGTTTGTCATTCAGTATTTTTCTGCTCCATAGGACCAGCCTTGAGTACTTCATGTTCATGTCAGGATTAAATTTCAGTAATAAGAAGGCACGTGCAAACATCATTATAGTTTTCATTTGAAAGACTTAGCCCACGTCATAAAGAAAGTCAAGGTAAAATGTAGCTCTTAGGTGAAGTAGTGTTAGGAGTGAGCTGAGCTCACTTCTTTTTAGGTTCGGTTGACTTAGGGGTTATCAATTTATTTATTTTTTTTGGTTTTTCGAGACAGGGTTTCTCTGTAGCTTTGGAGCCTGTCCTGGAACTAGCTCTTGTAGACCAGGTTGGTCTCAAACTCATTAAGATCCACCTGTCTCTGCCTCCTGAGTGCTGGGATTAAAGGCATGTGCCACCACCGCCCTTTCAATTTATTTTTAAAATGTGGTCAATTACATTACTTGAAAGAATCCGGATAAGTTATGTGTCTAGTGCAGGCTTTGTATTTTAATTTGTTTGGGAGATAGGGTTTTTTTGGTAAAATTTAATTTATAGGTAGCAGAGTCTGCATTGTAGACTGTTTCCGGGATTTTGCCAAGTTAGTTACTACTACATTCCATTAGTCCCTGCATTCTTTGTCTTCTCTCTTTCTGTTTTTCATTTTTTTCTTTTTACTTTTTTTATTGATACTTATTGGGCTCTACATTTTTCTCTACTCCCTTTCCTGCCTCCTCCCCCCCTTCAATCCTCCCCCAAGGTCCCCATGCTCCCAATTTACTCAGGAGATCTTGTCTTTTTCTACTTTCTACTTCCCATGTAGATTAGATCTATGTAAGTCTCTCTTAGTGTCCTCATTGTTGTCTAAGTTCTCTGGGATTGTGGTTTGTAGGCTGGCTTTCTTTATGTTTAAAAACCACCTATGAGTGAGTACATGCGATAATTGTCTTCCTTGTCTGGGTTACCTCACTCAAAATGTTTTCTAGCTCCATCCATTTTCCTGCAAAATTCAAGCTGTCATTTTTTTCTGCTGTGTAGTACTCCATTGTGTAAATGTACCACATTTTCCTCATCCATTCTTCAATCGAGGGGCATTTAGGTTGTTCCCAGGTTCTGGCTATGACAAACAAAGCTGCTATGAACATAGTTGAGCACATGTCCTTGTGGCATGATTGAGCATCCTTTGGATATATACCCAAGAGTGGTATTACTGGGTCTTGAGGAAGGGTGTTTCTTAATTTTCTGAGAAATTGCCACACTGACATCCAAAGGGGCTGTACCAGCTTGCATTCCCACCAGCAATGCAGAAGTGTTCCCTTTTCCCCACAACCTCTCCAGCATAAGTTGTCATCAGTGTTTTTGATCTTGGCCATTCTCACAGGTGTAAGATGGAATCTCAGAGTTGTTTTGATTTGCATTTCTCTGATGACTAAGGATGTTGAACATTTCCATAAATGCCTTTCAGCCATTTTAGATTCTTCTGTTGAGAGTTCTCTGTTTAGGTCTGTACTCCATTTTTTTTTATTGGATTATGTGATTTTTTTGGTGTCCAATTTCTTGAGTTCTTTGTATATTTTGGAGATTAGAACTCTTTCTTATGTGGGGTTAGTGAAGATCTTTTCCCATTCTGTAGGCTGTCGTTTTGTCTTGTTGACCATGTCCTTTGCTTTACAGAGCTTTTCAGTTTCAGGAGGTCCCATTTATTAATTGTTTCTCTCACTGTCTGTGCTGCTGGGGTTCTATTTAGGAAGTGGTTCCCTGTGCCAATGTGTTCAAGTGTACTTCCCACTTTCTCTTCTATGAGGTTCAGTGTGGCTGGCTTTATGTTGAGGTCTTTGGTCCATTTGCACTTGAGTTTTGTGCATGGTGATAAATCTGGGTCTGTTTTCATTCTTCTACATGTTGATATCCAGTTATGCCAGGACCACTTGTTAAATATGCTTTCTTTTTTCTATTTGATATATTTTGCTTCTTTATCAAAGATCAGGTGTCCCGGAGATGTGTGGATTGATATCCAGGTCTTCTATTCAGTTCCATTGGTCCTCCTGTCTGTTTTTATGCCAATACCAGGCTGTTTTCAGTACTGTAGCTCTGTAGTAAAGTTTGAAGTCAGGGATTGGATTTTTTTGCTTTTCCTCCCCCCCCCCCCCCCCCACAGGGTTTCTCTGTGTAACAGCCCTGCCTGGCCTAGACGCACTTTGTGGACGTGGCTGGCCTCTGCTTCCTGAATCCTGGGATTAAAGGTGTGCTTCACCATTGCCCAGCTAATCCCTACATTCTTAATCCTTTCCTGTACATGATTTGAATGGATATGAAAGCTGCCAAGTGGTGTAGTCTTTAACATCTGTGTGTTGCAGCTGTATGGCAATGTATAGGTATGTTTTAGGGTTTTCTGTTTCACACAGTGCTAGTGCATTTGGACATTGGATAAAGTAGACTTAAATTATCTTGGTTACAATACACTATACTTTTGATTGATGAGTTAAAGAATGTAGTGATTTGCTGGTGGTGTTATTTTCTCCCACCATTAGGAAAGTGGTGGTTGGAAAGTTTTATCTTTTCCAAATTAACCTAACCTATTCCAAGACTGTAGATTTTGTTCAGATGGCATCTTCTTGTGATGATTTTTAAAAAATCTGGCTGGGTATGTAGCTTAATTGGTAGAGTGCTTGCCTAGCATGCAGGAAGCACTGGGTTCTAGTACCCAGGTCCCCATTACCACATCAGCTGGTTATAATGGTGTGTCAGGGAGATGGAAGCAGAAGAATCACAAGTTCAATTACAAATTGGAGGCCAGTTGGGGCTATGTGAGGCCCTGCCTCTAAAAGGCTTGGACCTGTTTGGAAAGGATGTACTGGACATTAGACTTGTAGCTGCAGAATCAGTTGCTGATTGGATAAAGTAGACTTAAGTTATCTTGGTTACAATACACTATACTTTTGATTGATGAGTTAAAGAATGTAGTGATTTGCCAGGAATTTAAAAAGGCAACATCTCATTGTATTTGCAATTTATCAAGTTGTTAGGAAATATATAAGGGGAAAAGATAGTTTAAATCACAAATGTCAAACATGTGAAGAGGACCTCATATATGGGTATGGTCTTTTTTTTTTTTTAAAGATTTAATTATTTATTAAGCATACAATGTACTGCTGGCATGCAAGGCACCAGGTCTCATTATAGATGGTTGTGAGCCACCATGTGGTTGCTGGGAATTGAACTCAGGACCTCTGGAAGAGCAGCCAGTGTTCTTACCCTCTGAGCCATCTCTCCAGCCCTGGGTATGCTCTTAAGTAATTTTTATTAGTTGGTTGAAATTGACAAGTCGTTTTAACAGGGGTCATTTGTGATGAGGCTGTTTATTTATTTATTTATTTTGGTTTTTCGAGACAGGGTTTCTCTGTGGTTTTGGAGCCTGTCCTGGAACTAGCTCTTGTAGACCAGGCTGGTCTCGAACTCACAGAGATCCGCCTGCCTTTGCCTCCCTAGTGGATTAAAGGCGTGCGCCACCATCGCCTGGCCATTTTTTTTTTTTAACCTGGCAGTAAGGAATGGTGAGATTTAAGTGTGGCCTCAGGTAAGACTTTACAGACAAATGGTTTTTATTTTGTTTGTGGAAGGTCAGACAGGCTTTGAATAGTCTATATAGCAGAGGCTGACCTTGAACCTCTTTGTTCTTCTTGCCTCTACTTCAAAAATCCTTAGATTATAGGCATAAGCCACCATGTCCAGCAACAAATAAAATTTTGACATATAGTCAAAGTAGGATAGTTAACTATATTGGGATTCCATATTTTACTATAGACATAGCTTTCTATAG